AAAAAGGGTAGATATCTTCTATGCAGTACATTCTGCATGGTTCCTGTGCAAGAGTTTTCCTAGCTATTTCTTATACTGAATATATCATTTTATTGTGTGTGACAAGTTTGGTTCACATTCCTTCATTAAAGAAATAAGAGGTGAAACGATAACTTCAATGGACAGTGCAGTGCGGTGTGAGTAGTAGTACCTCCCGGCCCCCGAACTCTGGGCAGCTTCGGGAGTAGACGCCGATGGGGATGGTGTGCTGGCAGCGACTGTGGTCGTCCGCACAAAGAAGTCCTTGCACAGTGAAATGGCTTGAAAATCGCAGATTTGCCATAACCCGTTGGAAGATTAACAAATACATCTTCCCCTTTCACTGCTGATTTTATAGCTTTTGATTGTAACTCCTTAAAAGATGATAATTTCAACCTTTCGACCGCATATTCAAGGCTCTTTGATAAGAGATCTCCTTCGTCGTTCTGTAACCGCTCAAAAATGTATTTATGATTATACATGTTGATAATGAATATGCATGAAGTTTTCTCGAATCGTCTACTCTGATTGGTGCGTCGGATTGGAAGGGGCGGTTTGGCCGGTTTTCTGGGTAAGATACTTTGCATCTAATTATCTCCTGATTCGGGAGCGGAAATATAATACAAAACAAAAGAAATAAACTACAACAACCACTCAGGTTAGTAAAGGCCGAGCTGCTGACGCACCTCGTCCCACAGATCACAGTCGTCGCGCGATTAGTCTATGTATTCAGGCGCGTTTAGGGAAATACAGCACGAGTGCCTTGACTAAAGGCTATAATTGGGCCGGATAAATGTAGAACAAAGGTCATGCAGAGTTGTGGAGGTGTGTGTGTTGGGGGGGGGGGGGGGAGGGGGGGGGGTAATAAACTTTTAAATGGTTGACTTAGTTAGGGCCACAAACTTCACTGTCACCAGGATGGAAAGTACATTTTTTAAAATTCAGTTCAGTTAAAAGGCAAAAATAATGACCCCATTTCACTGTTGTACCTCAATTCATTTTTTACCCCTTTTTTTTGTTTGTTTATTAACTTAAATAGTTTTTAAATCAGAAAAACTGCACTGATCATTTAGCCGACTTAACAAGTGATATATTAATATTTTAAGTGTCCAAATAATGAATCATTCTCACCTCGACTTCAATGTTCTTCATATTGTGCCCCATCCCCAATGAAATTTAAATTTTTGCATTCGTCGTCACTGATTTTGGGGAAATTTGCCCCCCCCCCAACAGTAACATTTTCAATACAGGGACCCCTTCCAATATTGACATTTCCATAGGCTCTATTAACCTCCCTCCCCCACCACACCCAATTACCTATATGCTTTCATCATTTGGCATTGACTTATTCTTTATTTAACCCCCCCCCCTCATCTTTATTGTAAACCATTTTTTATACTGTATTTATACATTAGTCTTGCCCACTCTCTTGTTACATTTCCACTTTCTCTCATTAGGAAAGATGGTTAAATCTATCTCGCTGATACCAGATATAAACAAAACATCAAAAGGTCGAACACCATACTCAATTCTACACAAGACTGCATCAGACCCCATCTCACCTCAGTCATACAGCATTATCATTACAGAGTGCCTACATCATCATAATCACCAGCATCATCACATATATTTCACAAAATAAGAAAATGAAAAGAACAGAATTAAGCAGTATCAACTAATTTATTAACATTTATGAACTCATTTATTTTTTTTAATTTTTTTTGTTTCTATAAAGATTTTTAAATCCAACATGACATCAACAAAAGGATGGCAAATGGATGGGGGGGGGGGGCTGTCTCTTGAATTCAAATTTTTCAGTTGTAAAAGTTTACTGTAGATTTTGAAAAAAATATTCAATAATATCAACATGCTATTTATTATGTAAAGAACAGGTATATACTGAGTTTTATGAGTACTTTATCTTACATTGGACATTATTGTTGTTTTTACTACTATCTGTATTATCTTATTATTACTACTATTATCATGATCATTGTCATTATTGTACTATTAGTTGGAATATTTTTGTTTTACCCCAATTTATGGAATTATTTTATAAATATTTTAAAATAAGATCTGAGAATGTATATTATTATCTAGATCTATTATTTTAAATTATATTTAAAATAATTCCATAAATTAGGGTAAAACAAAATATTCCAACTTTATGAGCGACAGTGTATAATTATATTACTACAGTATTACTATTGAACTACATAATTTTATAAACCCCCCCCCCTTCAATTTACTATCCAGTACAGCATCCCTAATATTTTTGTCAGAACTTGACTTAAGATTAAATATCAAAAAACTATATTCCATGTACACGCATTTAAAAGAAGATATGATTACTTTCATGATCCTCGAGATATCTTCTTCTTATTCTTCTGGTAATCTTCAAAAGGCGTTGTAGCCTTTCACGAAGATGAACTAATACTAAAGATTACAAGTGGTGTTGCATTTTAATTTTATTAAAAAATGATAAACTATGTCTATCTGATAGGGCCTTTTTTGAAGAGAAGAGTAAAGGTTAAATGTATTTCCAATT